CCTTAGGGCTGCGTTCCCCGCACCCACGTGGTAGACAATTAGTGGACAACAGGCTGCTTCCCACTGCCGGGAGACTGGGAGGGTGAGAACGGATGGGTTTTTGGGAGGGTGGGAATGGTGGGTGGCCAACGCTGCCTCACACAGCCACGCTAACACCTCACCTCACACTGTCACAGCACGGTATAAGAATGCAGCCCAGGCAATAGGACGAATAACGGCCAACAGGGTTTAAAGGTTTAAGGGTTTAAGGGTTTAAGGGTTTAAGGGTTTAAGGGTTTAAGACCTTAAGGACTTGAAGACCAGGCAAACAGAGGAATGACGGCCAACAGGGTTTAAGGGTTGAAGAGCTTAAGGGTTTAAAGAGACCTGCCGGTCTCACGGGAGGCAAGACAGATGCATGGGGCAGGAACCGAGTGAAAGTAGACAAAAGTGCAGCCTGGACAGTGAAGAAGGTCCAATAACACTTTGTCCCACCGGTTGCATAATATGCGTCTGATAGGATCAGCCCACTGACAATGACAAACTGACTCATACACATGCATGTAAACACACTGTCGAACATGCTCAATCACACCTTACACAGCACAGCGAATTCTGGGACAAGAAACACACTCAGAGACACCCTCAACTACACCCCACACACTACAAGCCAAAGTGCAATAGCACCTATACAGTCACAGACACAACAGCACACAAGGCAACAAGTAGATAGATAGCAATCAGACCGTCACAGTATCAAGACTATAAATGATCAGAGTGCAGACTGCTGGGCCCCTCACCACCCAGCCCCCACATGCATATTGACAGCTCATGCTTCTGCTTCCAATACTTCCATTTCTTACATTGTACTCTACAAGGACGCTGGACCCGATTTCCAGCAGGTGCTGGTCCCCACCAATAGATGGAGCCTCTCGATTTCCAAAGGGTGCTAGTGGTGTCTGCTCTTATCAGCATCCCTAGGATCAGCTCGGACTGTTATTAAAAAAAAAAAAAAAAGGATACATGCTACCCTCTTCCCACGAATAGAATACATGGTTGGTCATTATAATCGCTGTATCTTAGACTGAATGCTGGCCCAAATACAGCAATAACGACCGTGTGGAAAAAAAAAAAAAAAAAGGGATACATGCTACCCTCTTCCCAGGAATAGAACACATGGTTGGTCATTATAATCGCTGTATCTTAGACTGACTGCTGGCCCAAATACAGCAATAACGACCGTGTGGTGATTATCCCGGTTGTCGCAGACGGTTAGGCCAAGTCACCATACATGTCTGTATTTGTGGACCTCGCGCCACTACACCTACCGCATACTCAATGTATCTGCTCCTGTTAGAGGCCCGATGCATACAAAATGTTCGATCAGTCCAAATGTATACGGACGATCTGGCAGTCCAGATACTCCTCAAATGTGGAGTAGTGGAGCAAGGCCCCCTCTCGGGGCTCTGGCCTTGCAAGGGAAGGGGTTCTGACGTTTCACACTACCCGCCATCCGCCAAGGGATTTTTTTACTTTATTTTTTCCCCCTCCAAAATCAGGGATGTCCCTTTCCTCAGTTGCCCATGGGTCCACACACTCCCGGCATACTCACAGTACCGTCTTCCCCCAACATAACGCACCCGGAAAATGAACGTATACAAGGTATGTCTCCGTCCCGATACATTCAAAATGAGGGTGCGTTGTGTTCGGGGGAAGACGGTAGGACTTTTTTCTAAATGACTGTAATTACAGCGAGACATGGATGAATCTGACAGCAATAACGTCCAGAGCAATTCTCTGTGACACTATATATATTGTTGGCCTGTGATGAGGTGTGTGAAACTGCAGTTTGTAAAGTTTTCCGTCTGGTGTGGGTGAATGACAGTCTGCTTTGATTTTCATCACATCACACGTACCCTTGAGCGCAGAGGTAGGTGGTCCCCACCTCCTCAGAGGGGTATCAGTTGTCGGGCAGTCGTTGATGCAACCCGGGTTTAGGTGGATTATCACCCTCAGTATCATCGGGTAGGGGACTCTGCAGACGGAGTGTAGAGGGTTCAGACTCCTGATGAGAAGGTGGGGATTATCACTTTCAGTGTAATCAGTTGGGGGGGGGGGGGGGGAAGGGGGGGAGGGGAAGTAATCAGTTAAGGGACTCTGCAGACAGCCTGTAGAGGGTTCAGCCTCCTGATGAAATTGAAAGCGGCCTATCACCCAGCCGCAGCAGCCCGAGGCCTCTGCCAACTGCAGGTTCAGAAACCACATCACAAGCCAGCAATGCCCCCACGAAGCGATGACTGTAGGGGACTCTACAGACAGCTTTCGATTCAGCCTCCAGCTGAGTCTGTCGACTTCCGATGAAACAGTCTGTCAGCGTCCCCTGTTCCTTTTATTTACTTCTCCCAGTTTGCCCAGGGTTCCAATCCAGTCCTCTCTGACCACACACACACACACAGAGGGGGAGAAAAGAGAGAGAGAGAGAGAGAGAGAGAGAGAGAGAGAGAGAG